GTGAGTTGCTGACCCAAGGGTGTGGGTCCTGACAATATTGCGTTTTTGTCTCTCCTTCCTGTCTCGTGGTAGTTCCTTCTTTATGTCTTTAGTTGTAGAAAATCTTTTCTGCTAGCCTTCAGGTCATTCTCATAGATGGTATCTCTGTAAGTAGTTATAATTTTGGTGTGTCTGTTAGAGGATGTGAGTTCAGGGTCTTCCTACTCTGCCATCTTGGCCACCTCCCCCTGTATAAGCTTTTCTAAGCTCACTTCATCATCTTTGTTCTATAGTATTAGCTTACCTAAGTGAGTCACCCTTTCCCATTGTGCATGGAAATGTAATTTGAACTACTTTACAAAGGAATTTTGCATAATAATAGGCCAAGTGATATTGACAGTTCAAACCTTATATTTAATAAATCATTTTAATTACAGTATAGTTCAGAAATTCATTTTCTTCCAAAATAATGAAAAGATATCTGCAGTGCAAAATAAACTATGAACTGTTAATAACAAGTTAAATAGATGAATGGACAAACAGATTCTAAGGATCAGCTCCCAGTCATTGGCACTGAGCTAGTTTTAACCTTGCTCTGATCATAACCCTCCTTCCTCGCAAGAGCAAAGAATTAGGTCCAACAGGAGACAAGCCTTTATAAAGCAAGTGCCTGCCTCAGATAAAAGAAAGCATGTACTTAAATACAGCCAGCAATTGTGTCTTCAGAGCTCTTTAAAATGCTGGTGGCATTGCCTCTCACCTTCAGGTCAGTATTATTTGGGCACCAGCTAGAACCTGATAGTTAAGAACGTGTCAAAATCTTTGTCAAAAATTCCCACATTAAGATTCACTTTGCTCAAGGATACATTCCTTCAAATGGCAACACAGTGATTCACACTGAAGTAACATTTTACTGTAAATGAAACTTTTTCCAATTTTAATTTCTGATATAGCACATAGCATTACTTGTAAAACATAGAAGAAATATATTGAGTATTAGCATTTTCTCATTCATGTCTTCTTTCTAGAAACCTTGAGAGTGAAACCAGTATGGTACAAGGGCCAGCAATCTTTTAGATGTAGCTTCTCAAACCTCTACTATTCCCTTGGTAGAACTGAAGTGGATGGGGTGGGAATAGGAATGGGTACAAAGTGGAATTCATCCTGTGGTGGATCATATTTTGAGAAAATTGCTTTGGCCTGAAGAGACCATTAAACTAAGAAGCACAAAAGAATAAAGGCAACTAACTGAATGTGTTCTCTGTTCCAGACACTGTGTTTGATATATAGGCCCTTTTATTTCATGTTCACAGGTAACCTAAGAGAATTATCCACATATTACAGATGAGGAAACAAAGAGTTTCAGAAATTTGTCCAAGATCACAATCAAAAAAGAAAGGTTGAGATTTAAACAAAGGTAGTCAAATTTCAAAGCTCACCTTCTCACCCAGTGCATTAGCCGGTACATCTAGATGGGGTTAGGATAGTCTGCAAAGACAAACCTGGGAATCATGCCTAACCAACCAGGCTGGGAAGGATTCCTGAGCAAGAAGAAGAAGTGTATTCCTTTCCCCTTCTTTTGCCTTCCTCTGTTCACCCTCAGCATCTATGTCATATCTCTAGCTGGCCTGCTACAAAATCATCATCATCTCAAATTGGCACAAGTGGACTTGGTATAATTAATTTGACCAACAGGACAAATAAAAAGCACACTGAATTTCACCTTAAAATTTTTCATGTATTAGTTTTGTGAAAACACTTTCATAATAAAGCATAATAGCTTAGGCTCTCGAAATACAAATTGCTGTAACTTACATTGAGAGTTTATATTGAAAGAACAAATTATGGCACGTACTTTAAGGAGATGAACAGTGTGGCTCAGCCCGAACTTGAATAGGTTGCTATCCTATACAGAACTTCTCAAGGTCTTTGCATACATGGAATTCTAGTAGAGTGGTTTCCACTGAACCAGATCCTTTGAGAGAGTCAGACAATAATAAATAGCTATTCTGATTTAAAAGAGACTTAAAAAATTTTTTTCCATGACCAGAGTCATTATTTTTACTTACCATAAAAGTGAGATATGCTAACTGTACAAAAATTGAGCGATTCAAAAAAGTTAAAAAGGGCTAAATCAATTAAAAATCTCCCTAAGAGAAAACCATTGTTAACATATCAGTGAACACATTTCTTTTTGTCTCTCCATAAATTTATTTTGTATTTAGATGTAGATGGATAACTGTCCCCAAGACCCAGATGACATTATCCTAGAGATGATGTTATTAATATAGTAGGCTTTCTGGGAATAATATCACATTTTAGTCATTCAAGGAAAAGCAAGGTTAAGAAAACATCTTGTAAATATAACAACTGAAAATTCAGAGCTGTATCACATAGATATTTGTCATGTATATTTCCTGTGAAGCATCAGCATTTAGAAATCTTTTCTTCCTTTTTTATGAATAATGGCAGTTTTGGAAAGAAGAAAAAGAGCAAATGCTACATACTTGTCATTTATAGCTTCCCTTGTTTTTATCCTGCTAACCTCAGAGATACACAGTATGGAGCTGAGATACCAGCTCTCTTTGTGGCTTTGCCAGTGATAAGTCATCATGGTTTATTTCATTCTTTCTTTGATTCATTTAGTCAACAAACATTTAATGAGCATTTATCCTTTGTCAGGCACAGTGGACAAAAAAATCCCCAGTCTTGGGCTACTTACAGACTGGTGAAAAGAGACAGATACTAAACAAGTAATCAGAATAAATATTTGGTGCATTAGCTTGTGATAAGAGCTACAGAGGACACTAAAAAAGGGAAGAGAGAAGTAGGTGATTACTCTTTTATGTAGACTGGTGTGAGGAGAGACTTTCTGATTAGGAAACATTTGAGCAGAGAATTTAGGGAACTGAGAGGGCAAGCCCTGAGGATAACTGTGAGACAATATTCAGGCAGGAGAATAGCGTGTGCAAATGGCCTGAAGCAAGAGCTTGCTGTTATGCCCAAGGAGCAGCAAGATGGCCAGTGTGACCTGAGCACAGTGAGCAAGGAGGAAGTGAGGCTTACAGGGAATGGGGGTTCAGATAATGTAGGGCCTTGTCGGACTGTGTAACAGCTTTGTCTTTCTTTACCATGAGTGAGATGGGAAGCCACTGCAGTGTTTTGATCAGAGAAGTGACATGATCTGGCCTTGTTTTAAAGACAACATTTGATCTACCCAAGGTACATGTAGAGAGACCATCACTGAATGCCCATGCGATGGCACTTTCTCATTTAAGGTCCCAATAACTCCATACAGTAGGTGGCATTATCCTCAGCAAGAACTGGGCCTCAGAGCAGTTACTCAACTGCCTAAGAGGACTGAGAGAGGCCTTAAGTGGAGTCAGGATTTAAGTCCAGACCTGTTACCCTAAAGCCAGGGTTCTTTCCTCCTAACCTGTGCACAAGTTAAAATGTGTGTTACCATCTCTAAAGAGAATAATTTGTACATTAGGTGTGTGATCTATTCTTCAGTCATTTACCTGGGTCAGACTCTAAAGAGGGAATACGTTCTGATTTCTTCTCCTCTGAGTGTTAGTACTCTGACACAGCTCATTTTTCATGTCATCTTTCTTATCCAGATTTCTTTTAAGAAGTGGGTTTTCACATTTTTGTATGTTACTATGAACTATAGCTGAATTCATTTGTATCACACTAATCTGTCATCTCAAAGAGTTTCACAAATGGAGTAGAGGGCCTTTAGCTGTTTAAGGCATTTTCAAATATCCATTTTCCCCTCTAACCTGTCATATAGATTCTCAGATGCTGGCAGCAAACTGAGGCCTATTTATTTGAAGTGTCCTCGTGTTTTCTTCTAAAGAGCTTGCCACATTAATGTTCTCTCAACGGAATTCAGTCTGTCCATGTGTACATGAGCAAGACCTTCACTATCCCTGCAGCTAAAGCAGTAAACAATTCACAACTAAAGAGGGGACAGCCACACTTCAGCTGAAAAGCAGAAACAGCTTATCATGTTATTTCTCCAAGGCTTTCATTAGTTCAGAAAAACATGGGCTGTTTAGTATTATCCTGAGAATTCTGTGGTTTGAGAACACTCAATGGTAACGCTTTTATATTGCCATTAAGTGATTAGCTCAGTTATCTCTCTTCTTTTCCTTGCAAGTCACCTTGTTGAAATATTGTGTAAAACAGTGAACACAGACCAGCAGCCTGTCTGAGGAATGTCCTCTGGAGGACCCAAGCTCTCTCCAGAGCCACCGAGAGCCATGTGGGGCTGCAACAGAGGCTTGGAAGCATTGGGGACATCAAGGTTCAGCTTAGGTCTCCCAGTTAGTATAACTAAGGAATAAGGTTTAAGGTCAGACAAGATTAAAGCCATCATGCCTATTTGAGAGGAAAAGAAAAGTAGTTTCCAAAGTCTTTAGAAAGAAATCTTGTTACTATCTTTTTTTTTTTTTTAATGGAAGGGAAAGACTGTGAGATAAAAAGAAGAAATAACAGTACACAAATTTTCAGTCTCAGCAGAGACAAGGGTCTGTCACTGAATTAAATAACTCTAGAAATGTTTGTGGACGAGGACTAAAAAGAGGAAAAGCGTATAGGACCATATGGTCCTACTTTTTCCACACTCGAAGTAAAACTGGAGAAGGAATTCGTTTTTATTTTTACTTTTATGACTGAAGGAGAAAAACTGTAAAGTATACTCAAACACATTATCTGAAATGAAATAATACAATGAGAATCAAATACACTTTCCCTCTTCTAATCCCAGTGGGCACAAAACTAATTGGCAATCCAGTTAGTGAAAATGCATCAGTTCCAGTGGAACGAGATTGGGCAATAGCTGTTAGCCCTGGATTTCAAACCCAGCTCCAGCAAGGCTTTACTGTGATACAGGTGGTGTTTGGGGTGTCATTTCAGTGCTCCATGAACCTGTTAATTTGGGGCTAAGAATGCATTCTGTTATATTAACTCTGTGGGGTTTTTTAATCCTCACTTACTCCCTTCTGGCTTTCTTTAAGGTCCAGTTGAAAAGTGAAGAATCCAAAACCTTTGCAATGAAAATTCTCAAGAAACGCCACATTGTGGATACGAGACAGCAGGAGCACATCCGCTCGGAGAAGCAGATCATGCAGGGGGCTCATTCCGATTTCATAGTGAGGTAAAGACCCTGCCCCAGGGCTCAAGTCCCCAACTCCAAGTGGAAAAGCAACCACATTTGCACTCACTGTTAAACATTTGATTCACACAAAGAAACATAATTTTTAATCTGATTTTTAAAAAGTTTTTACTAAATAAAAAAACACTAGGGCTTCCCTCGTGGCTCGGTGGTTGAGAGTCCTCCTGCCGACGCAGAGGACACAGGTTCGTGCCCCGGTCCGGGAGGATCCCACATGCCGCGGAGCGGCTGGGCCCGTGAGCTATGGCGGCTGAGCCTGCGCGTCCGGAGCCTGTGCTCTGCAATGGGAGGGGCCACAACAGTGAGAGTCCCGAGTACCGAAAAAAAAAAAAACACTAAAATTTTGATTCTTTTTTTTTTTTTTTAAATGAGAATCAGATTCTGTGAAAAGAACATGTTTTTCCCAAAGGAGATATCAGAGTTCTTAATGTTCTATTTTTATCCTATTTTTATTCCAAGAACTCTGCATAGACCTCTGGTGCGTGAAAGACAAAATACCAAAAATCAAACTATTTTACCTTGAATATTCTTTATTTGAATATTTTCTGAAGTTGTTAAAAAATGAAATGACTATCCCATCTCAGTATTTTGAAAGCACTGATAAGACAATGGGTTGTTTTTTTTTTAATACGCAGAAGCTTTTCTAGTTAATTTGCCAGTGGCACTTGATGAAAACAGGGTATCACATGAACTTAAGTGAACAGTGCATAAATGTCATACACATCTATATTTTAAAGTGTCATCTACTGAATATCCATGCACACTGCATGTTTATGACCACTAAATATTGCTGAAGAGGCCACACTTGAAACGTTAGCCAAATTGGAATTAGAGGAACCCCAGGAAGCCCTCTTGGTTCATAATCATTTGGATTAATCCATTTCAAAAGAGAGACTACCCCCTACAGTGTGAAAATCTTAGTCATGAGCCATCGCTTCTTTTTTCCTCTTTGTGAATTTAGATCTTTCTCATTCTTTTAATAAAATTTCAAGCTTGGTAAATCAACAGTAAGACTGTAATCCAGGCACTGAAAACATTTACATGCTTTTAAAAGACAGTAACGTTTATAATCTTTGTTTTCTTGTTTGCAATTCACAGATTATACAGAACATTTAAGGACAGCAAATATTTGTATATGTTGATGGAAGCTTGCCTAGGTGGAGAGCTCTGGACCATTCTCAGGGATCGGTAAGAGTTTTAAGAAATTTCTATCATGTCTTTGAAAATGTAGTTGACTGTGATGGTTTGTAAGAAGAGTCAATTTTTATAAAGTATAGAAGTCATATTTACATATGCTTGTATTTCAAAATGTACATATGGGTCACAACCCACGATCTACATGTGATTTACTGTAAATAGGAAACTCACTCTGTTTCAGATTTGTGACCAATGATATAGGATTAGTCCACCATAAAAATGGTACCTGTCAAGGTACATGCAGAGGCTTTAGTATAGCTTGAATATCACAATCAAACAACTATATACCTAGAATTCACTTCATTGCTGTTAACAATGAAGAGAATTAAAGTTATTTTACAGTTGCAATCTAGATTACCTGTCAGTTGGATTGTTCCACTCGTTCTCCAGATGGGCTATCTTTCCTAACACTGGGAGTTTTTTCCAAAGTAACTTTTCCAAAACTCTACCTTTACATTGCTCTTTGGTTTCAAAATTAACAGAAGTTTCCAACCATCCCTTTCAGGACTTACCTGGTCTTGGGAAGAAAAGGAACCCACTTAACACTCCTCTTTGCCCTTTCAGGGCAAGTAAAGTTGGTCTCTTTAGGGCTTATTTTTTTTTTATTATTATTCAAAATTAATTTTCTATTTCCTATTTATGTATAGCAAACTATCCTTTTTTAAAAAATATTCTACTGGGCTTCCCTGGTGGTGCAGTGGTTGAGAGTCCGCCTGCCGATGCAGGGCACGCGGGTTCATGCCCCGGTCCGGGAGGGTCCCACGTGCCGCGGAGCGGCTGGGCCCGTGAGCCATGGCCGCTGGGCCTGCGCGTCCGGAGCCTGTGCTCCGCAACGGGAGAGGCCACAGCAGTGAGAGGCCCGCGTACCGCAAAAAAAAAAAAAAAAAAATTCTACCAACCCTAAATGTGTACTTAAAAAAAACCTACAATTTTCTGTGAATGACCTAATAACATTCAAAAGGCATCTTTGTTCCTTTGAACATTCACCTTTAGACATCTTTTTCTTTTCTTATTTGTTACAATCTCACCCCACAGGCTCTCCTTCATCAGGTAACATCTTTCAGACTCAGCTATAGACAGTCCTAACGTCCCCAGAAAGCCATGTTATTTTTTGACAGTCTATTATTTTGTAGATATCCCAGAATAGAACTAGTTCTTTATAAACTATTGCTTTGAAGTCTCATTCCTAATTGTATCCTTATGGTACCTTCATATCTTTGTACCCACTGTCCTTTCAGGTCTTTTATTCCCATTGCCTTACCTTGTATATGACAAATGGGTTTCTTTTTACCTTATGGTGTCCTATTACATTAATGGTTTTTTTCCTTAAATTCAAGGTAAATATGCCTATAAGGGAATGTATCATTTTGGCACTAGGGGACAGGGTTAACATCTGTACTGAGCTATTATATCATAGTGTATTACTACATTACTGTTAATTAATTTTTGGGTACAGATTATATGCCAGGCATTGTGATAGAGGCCGGGGATAAAGTGATAAATAAAACAGTTGTGATCCCATGCCTCATAACTTACAGGATGTAGCAGAAAGTTAATATTCTGATTTGTGAGTTAATATCTGGTTTATCCTAATGTGCTTCTACTATATTATTTTTGACCTGACCTTCCAATACAGTGATTTATTTGAAATCTCTTCCCTACTTTGTTCTAATTAGAATAGGAGATTTACCGGTAGATGTAAACATTAAAGCAATAATAAGCCACTTAGGGAAAGGAACAGCGATTTTAAACTCCTTATTAACTTCTTTAACAAGACACCAACAACAATAAAATTTTTTTTAGTTTTAAAAATAATAATAAAAGTTAACCTAAAGTCCACTCAAACATGCATAGACATCAATATTCAACTTTTTTTTTTGCAAGAAAACTGTTTCATATTTCTTATTTAACTTGATTTTGCATTTTGGGGGTACATAAATGCTAGCCAAGGCTTACAAGTGAGATGTATTTGGATTTGTCAGGGTAGCAAAGGAATGCTATCAAGAAGCAGCTTGTCTTGGGAGGAGTGGATGGAGGGAGATCAGTGATGGTCCTTTCTCTACCTCCACCAGACTGCTTACTGACCCTTTCTTTTGTCTTCCCTTTTATCATCCTTGGATTTGGGGTACACAGTTGCTGAGTCCCCCCAGTGTACTAAATATTCATTAAGGAGGCATGATCCAGAGAAAGAGCAGCTACCTGATCCTTCCTAAAGATTCAGAGGGGCTGAAGCCTCGACATTAAAAGCAATGAAGCTGTCGTATATAAGATCATCTTGGACTCATTGTCCCCTCCCAACTCTCTTTTTTAGATATTCAATATGTATGTAGCCTTACTGCTTTTATTCCAAGAGACTTTTTTTTTTTTCCTACGTAAAAAATTGCTAAAGGATAAGCATAGTTTTGGACATCCAGGCTCCAATTAATACTGTCACAGACTAGCTTCCTCATTGCTTGTTTAAACTGGGGTTGAAAAATCCTAAAGATTAACTGTTAGAACCAAAAAAATGCCAAGAGAAAAAGGAAATTAATTATGCTGTTTGTCACAGTGTATATAAAAGTATCCTTAGTCAAAATAAACCTTTTTGTTCAGTTCCTTTAGTTTTCCTCTCGGGTCCCAGTAAGCAGTAGTAAGGGAGAAGCTATTCTGAGAGCATAAAGGAAATGTATTGGTGGGAAGGTTAATCTGAAGAAAGGCTTGTGTGACCTCTGAGCCTCAGGGATTTAGCGCAGGAAGTCTCCTATAGCAATGACATCCTCCTTCCTTCACCTAGCAGCTGAGCTGACCATTTCCTGCCTCTCACTCTCTTTCTTCTCATCAGCATAGAAAAAGAACACAGAGCAGTTTTTTATTTGTTGTCAGGAAGAAGGAATTAAAATGATACCATATATACAAACAGATTTTGAGGACTATTAAATTTTTTTTTAATCTTGGAAATAGGAACTACAGCACTGAAATGTTAATTGTTGCAATTTCCCTGGTTTGTCCTTTATTAGCTATCATGTTTTATCTTCTAGTTTGTGACTTTTTTCCACAAATTCTGTTCCATTATTTGCAATAGATTGGTACAAACCATATTTTATTCACCTCTCCTCTATAACAGTTACAGAATTGTCAACCACAACTTTCTTAAAAATGTAAGTGGTTGATATACATATATATAGAGAGAGAGAGAGAGAGAGAGGTTATTAGTATATATTACATATTAATATTAGTATTTGATACATATTCTAATATCATTTACTTAATTGGAGTTTTTTAAAGTGTATGTTAATTTTTCCTACAGAACGTATTAAACAATTACATAAGAAACCATAATTATCACATCTCACTTCTGGTCTCGAGTCTTCCTGGATGTGTTTTATAAGCCAGCAAGTGACTTTCTATATACATTCTCCTTAATTCCAGCTATTTTATGGGAGGTGATTACTTAAATTCCATCTTAGATGACCCATTAGGTGGAATCTGTGTCATTTCTTAATTTGGTTGAAAGTCCTTTAAGGAAATATGAGTCCGTTTTCATAATAATTTAGCCTCTTCCTACTTTGGCAATAAACCTGTAGCATGCTTCAGGTTTATATACTCACTAATGATGGTTGTCACTAGTCAATGGAAAGAGGGAACTTGTCTTATCAGTGAGAGATGCTTTGTCTTTGTTACATTCTGCCATTTCAGGACTGGGTTATGACAAGTTGATTAAACCCTGTGATTACATTTTAATTTGAGTCTATCAATCAATAAGTATACATAACCCTCAAATCCCCTGAAGCACATTGTTGTTATCTACTGCCATCTAGCTAAGATAAAACACCTACTCCCTCCCGAAGAGGATATAAGGACCTATACCTTACTTGTTAATTGAAATGACACAACTGTCAAGGCATAATTTATTATTTCAAAGAGCTATATAGGGGAATGACTTCTTTCTTCAAGCAATTTTAACTGTTGATAAAACAAGCTTTTGTTTTAAATCAAATTTACATTGTCATTTCCAATTCTAATAGTAATTTTTCATTGTGAATCACCCTAATGCTGTGTTTTTTGACTGCTTTCCAAAAGGGCATTTTAAAATTCACAAATTACCTACATCAAATATTTAGTGATGAAAACTGTGTTGCTGGTAAACATTTTGTGTGCATATATTGTGTTGATTTGTCACATAACACAGAAACAGATTTGAGACAAATTTTTTATTTAATTTTTAAAATCAGTTACAAATATATTTATATATGGGAGATACTCAATACAGCTCTGTTGAAGGGCTGGAAACCAGCTTTCTAGAGCCTTCCAAATTCCAGAATGGCTCAGAAACAAGCTGTCAAGAACTGAAGACCCAGTGATGGATGTTTATGGTCAGTTCCCTTCGTGATGAAAAAAGGAGGGTTTTGATTGGTAAGCAATATAAGGATAATTTTCACCTGTACACTTGTGAGAAGCACGGAGAAAGTGAAAAGAACAGAGATTAGCAGAAAACACTTCAGAGCTGACTCACGGCAATTAGCCTTTGCAGTGAGAAGCAGCAAATATTGGGTTGGCCCAAAAGTTCGTTCAGGTAACATCTTAGGGAAAAACCCGAACGAACATTTTGGCCAATCCAATATTTCAGTAGTAGTGATAGAGCTGCAAACTCCCATCCCCAAAAGACTGTCCTATATCAGTCACTTTTCCTAGATTAAGACACTGGAGGCGCTAAAGAAGAGTTTTTCGGTGCCCGATAATAATGGCTACTACTTACTGAGTACCAGATGTGTGCCAGGCACTTATTCTAATACACGCCTCAAATTCTTTGTATCCTCACAACAACCCAAAGAGAGAGTTTCTGTTACTAGTCTCATTTTGCACATGAAAACACTAAGACCTGGAGAGGTACAGTCAGTTACTCAAGATTAAACAGTAAGTGGAGGCCAGATTTGAGCCCAGGATTTTGCTTCATTCAGAGTCCACATTCGTAACCTACTGCCTCCTCTGATGAATTTGAGTTTGCATTAGGATTTTTTCCGTCTTTCTGCTAATGATCAGCTTGTTCAGAATATAAATATGAATACCATTCAGAGATGTCATGAGAAATTGATCTCTCATTAAGTGTGTACTCTCTTTACAGAAACAATGCATTTGTCCATTTGGTTCCATTTTATTAACAACTGAATATTAAGGGAAACACATCTGTTGCCCAGCATCGCAACTGCAGAAATAACTAACTCTTCTTCTAACAGGAAGCAAGAATTGTAGGCCTTTGAAAAGGCCCACCCATATTGCAATTAGACAGTCCTGATACAAGGAAGTAATCAATTTTCGTATTAAAACAAGGCATGTAATGTGAAAAAAGACACAGCTCTATTTTATGTACTGTTTTGTTTAGATTGTTTTGCTTTGCAGTGCTCTCCATTGAGAAGGGATTGAAGTCACATACAGCACTCAGTATAAAGTTGCTCATTAATTATCTACACATGGATGCTTAATATTTCAGGCAAATCATCTCTCAAAGAAATATGTTGCTCTTGATAGACAAACATACTTAATTAAGGACAAAGATGAAAGGACTTTTAAGGTACTATTCTAATCCCTTTCCCAATACACAGGATTATATAGTGTTGGTTCTGCAAAGATAGCTCCAAGTCAGAAAACATTTGCAGCATAATGTATACCATTCATTTCCTAATATAGATGCAATTCTTCTCAAACTTTTTCTTGTCCTTATAAATTCACAATTGTTCCATCCAGATATTGTTGAAGAGAGATACTAGAAACCTAGTGATTACAGTTAAGAGTCTAGTATCTAGAGGAGTAGGTATCATCATGCCCTGAATTGTATTTCAAAAGAAGGATATTCCCTTTGGGAAGAGCTAATTATTTCAGTGACAACTCAGGGGACATTAGTAGTTAAAATGAAGACTATACCTTTCTGGAAGACACTGCCTGTTTCTAAAACATGACCTGAAAGATGGCTGCTTTAGCCTTAGATTCACTGATAAATTTTGCAAGATAGCAGCCGTACCGTACTTTTCGGTTTGTTAGAATTTATTTCTCAATATTGAAAAAGAAGCAAATGTGAGCAAGATGCAAACTGGTATCAGTGACTCTCATGAAAGCAGGTTCTGGGGCTCCGCTTTGCTGCATGTTCCCCAAAACCACCTGAGTGCTTGCTGTCCTGTTACATCTTAGCCAACTCAAGAGCTGATGTTCACACTAATGTTCTTGAATTTTCACGAAATTATTTAATTGCATGTACTACTACTTGGGAAAGAAGAGGGGAAAAAAAAAAGTAGTTTATCTTTCTAAGGGATTCCATAGGGAAAAAAAACAGGTAAAGTATAAAGGTTCTTCCCTAGAACCAAGGAGTCAACCTTAGATGCCAAGGTTTTTTTCCTTTACTGTTATTTCATTAAATAAACACACACTCACACACACATACACGTACAGAGAGACAAAGAGCTTTCTTGCTAAACATCATAATCAAGTTTAATAAACATTCCCTTCCAATTACCTTTTTCCTTCTTATCTTTTAGCTCCATCTTTTCCTTCTAATAAGAAGGCAGTAGCATAGGAAATAGATATTATTTGTCTTGCTGACAGAAGTTTCAGACAGAATACTTAGATTGCGATCTGTTATCAGTAGCACTGTAACTCATTTCCAAAGTGGTTCTTTGAAAACATTAACTTTTTTTTTTTTTTTTTTTTTCTTGCGTTATGCGGGCCTCTCACTGTTGTGGCCTCTCCCATTTGCGGAGCACAGGCTCCGGACGCGCAGGCTCAGTGGCCATGGCTCACGGGCCCAGCCGCTCCGCGGCATGTGGGATCTTCCCGAAACGGGGCACGAACCCGCGTCTCCTGCATCGGCAGGCGGACTCTCAAGCACTGCGCCACCAGGGAAGCCCTGAAAACATTAACTTTTATTCACACTCATGAGCCACATCTCTATTATTTAGAAAGATTAAAAAAACAAACAGAATAAATATGACTAAACTCATAAACCCTTCTTTAAAAAACACCCCTTGGTAGACGAGGTCTAAAATAGGATTTGCCTCTCTTCCGCCCACCTCTGTAACTTTGCCCTTATGAGTAGGATGGTTAAATCTAACTTCCTGAATATTACTGAAGAGGAGGTTAACCACATACCACATTTCATGTACTTCATGGATTCCTCACAACAGCCCACTCCAATGTTCAAAGGCAAAGAATTCCTTGACTTAACCCTCAGACGCTTTTAAAAACCCGGTATGCAAAGGTAGCCCTATGACATTTGGCCAGTAGGACACTGGTCTCTGGGGTCACATTCTGGTGTAGGAATATAGTGACATGAGAAACTGACCCTTATTAGACAAACTAATTTCTTTCCTACTTTTTATTCCATTTTCTGTGTCTCAGAGGTTCATTTGAAGATTCTACAACCAGATTTTACACAGCATGTGTGGTGGAAGCTTTCGCCTATCTGCATTCCAAAGGAATCATTTACAGGGACCTCAAGCCAGAAAATCTCATCCTAGACCACCGAGGTTACGCCAAATTGGTCAGTGTGTTTCACACATGGTTTCTGCCCTGCACTTTAAAATACTGGCTAAGGAACAGGCTGTAGCGTTACTGTTTTCAACTGACTTCTTTCAAGTTATGTAAAGGTTATGAGAAATTAAATTGGCTATGTTTTAATTAATAATATGCTGGCAAACATGCTTAAATAGGCTCGCGCTTGCTTGCATGTGTTCGTAGAAAAGCTTCGTAGAAGTCCTGTGTCTAGCTGGGTTTCTGCCATCCAAAGGGAATAGGTTATATGTAGAGAACCATGAATCATTATCTTAGATTTAAGAATACTGTAATGCTTATGGGAAAAAAAGGGCTTGCTGGCAATGTTATCCAGGCCATGTTAGTAATAATATTAGTAATAATAAAATTGGCCAAGAGCTCTAAAGATCTACAGTAGAAGGGAAGTTCTCTTATTTTAAAATGTGTAACTTTTGTAGACTTTGGATCTTTCAGTGCCTGATTCTGTTTTTTAAAATTTTGGAATTTTTATTCAACCTATGATTTTCAAAGAAATCACATCAATGGTAGTTAATTATTTGTATTCTCAACCAGTTGTTTTAGGGAAAAAAATGGTTTTCTGCATTTGAGGCTCCTGCTTCAAAAGTTTTCTAGAAAAATGAAGAATACGTTTCGATTTTATCTCTTTGTTTTCCAAGGACAGAGTTATCGGTCCCATAGCTTTGTAACTCAGCTCCTTCAACAATAAAAATGGCTTCTCAATTAACACTAAATGAATTGTCAACTTCATTAAGTCCAGCAGATATCTGGAAAATATGCCTGACTAAAGGAGAAATTATTTGTTTATACCCCGACCTCCACTGGCATAAAAGAAGGAAAAATGGAAAGTATTTCCATAAAGAAAAGTTTGCCCTTATTTTCCGTGATGTGAATTTTATCCTATGTTAAGGTTTCAACGTTTCCTTTTGAAACTGAGCCTGAGCAGGGAGGCTTTGTTTGTTTGAAATATACAGAGGACTTCTTTTAGAAGACAGGACTACAATAGTTCAAATCTGTTTTTATTTTATTATCATCAGCAGCATACTTCAACAAAATAACTTTTTGCTTTTAAGCTTAATCAAAAGTGGCTTGGAATATCTTGTTTTTTCTCTCTTTGTAAGGTTGATTTTGGCTTCGCAAAGAAAATAGGATTTGGAAAGAAAACATGGACTTTTTGTGGGACTCCAGAGTATGTAGCCCCAGAGATCATCCTGAACAAAGGCCATGACATTTCAGCCGACTATTGGTCACTGGGAATCCTAATGTATGAACTTCTGACTGGCAGGTATGGACATTGATAGAGAACTGCTGATAAAAATAGACCAGCAAACAGCTACACACTCCTGTCTTTGTCACTCTGACGAGACCATCTTAAAGTACTTTCACCAGATCTTGCTACCACACTTTTTAATTAGTTATGCAGATAACCAGGAATTCATAAAGTAAAAACTAAAATGGGTCAGATGAGGGGAACAAACTCAACATCAACTCTCATTATTCATACATATGTGAATGTGGAATCATCTAGTGTCTTCCTGTGAGATCTCTGAGCCTAGTCATTTAGCCAGCAAGGAAGATGAAAGTCATATAAAAATACAGAGTCAACTATTTGTAGAAATAAGAGAACCTGTTAGCAATTGTTATATCTAAATGAGATGTAAATGCTTTGCAGATCTGCTGTGTAATAATATTGTAGTCATCAACAACTAAAAAAGGTACTGTGGATACGACCAGGTATAAAACAGACTATAAACTCAAGGAAAAGAGGAACAAATATGCCACCAAGCCCTGTGCTCAGGACAATAATTAAGAGGGTCATGATGAACTGACGAGTTCAGAAGAAGGTTAAATTTGTCCAGGGAGGCTTTTGAAGAACGTAGGACTAGCTGGCCCTTGCAGGAAGAATAGAGAGCGCAAAGTTCACGCCAGGCAGAAAGGCATGGCTTAAATAGAGGGGGAGTAGTGGGCAAAGACATGAAAAAGGTCCATGTTAAAAATGATGGGAGATCCAAAAGAGTCATCTTTCAAGAATCATGATTGCTGTACCTCAGTGTCTGGACTCCATCCAGAGAGGGACTCATGGAGGATTTTCTGATAAAGGAGTGACATGTGTTTTGGTATTTAAGGAAAACAAGCTGGCAGTAATGGGTAGAGCAAATTGGAAGAGGGATGGGGAGGCTAGTTTGAAGATAATTCCCATAATTCAGATCTAAGAAGAAGCATGCAGTGGAATGTGAAAGAATTACTTTAGTAGCTACAGTGAAAATGAGAGGAAGATGGGACTTTTAGTTTCACGGTTATTTGTGCGGATTCAGTGAATTAAGCACTGGGAAAGTCTAGAACACAGGAAGCACTCCATTGATGCTAACACCTACTACTCGTACTACCATTGCCAGGAACAGTTATGTGGTGGTTTTTATTTCACTTGTGGACATTTTAAATTTATTTATTTATTTTTGGCTGCGTTGAGTCTTCGTTGCTGCACACGGGCTTTCTCTAGTTGCAGAGAGTGGGGGCTCTTTGTGGTGGTGCACAGGCTTCTCATTACGGTGGCCTCTCCCGTTGCGGAGCACGGGCTCTAGGCTCACGGGCTTCAGTAGTTGTGGCGCACGGGCTTAGCCGCTCCACAGCACAGGGGCTCTTCCCAGACCAGGGCTCGAACCCGTGTTCCCTGCACTGGCAGGCAGACTCTCAACCACTGTGCCACCAGGGAAGCCCACTTGTGGACATTTTACACCATTACTCTTGAAACATCTTATGTTGACTTCAAATTAATAAACCTCGTTGGTGTTTTCTGTTAATTTTAGATGAAAGATACCTAGGCAAAGGCAGCTAAATACCACAGGAGAAATGATTCAGAGAAACATGGGAAGAGTTCAGATTGTTACCTAGAATTTCTTTGCAGCTGTTGAAAGCATGATCTCTTTAAAAAAGTAACTTCACAGATGTCTGTAAGTGTTCATAGATGAAAAGTAATAAACTTGCAGAGCTCAAGAACAGTACAAAGCTGAAAATCATATTATAAGCAACAGAAAAATAGAATAATAGCAATTAAAAACCCAGCCAGGGAGATAGTAGATAGACCTTAGGGAAAAAGAAAAAAGGATATAGAAATTATTATAGAAAGAAGATACAGAAGTCCAAAGAAATAGGAAAAACAACTATATATATGAAGAGATGACTACAAGTGGGATACAAAACATACTCAATTACATGATAGAAAATTCATGACATAGACCAGTCACAGATGGTCTCAGTGGATCATTTTGACAACAGTGACCATGGGGGAAACAGAGTCATACCACCACCATGTGTCCTAGTGCAATTTCCTAGCTTCAATGATAAGGAATAATCATATAGTCTCTAAGCTACAAAGCATGTCATATATGATGATGGGAGTGAGAAGGATTAGAATTCAAGTTGGCCTCAACTTTCTCTATGGCACCTTTAATGCCAAGAGATAGAATATTAAGAACTATGTAGTTCTGAGAGAGAGTACAACTCAACTAATTTATATGAAATTAAGTTATTCTTAAAATATAAAGACAACATATAGAGTGTGTACCCCAGGGCTTCCCTGGTGGCGCAGTAGTTGAGAGTCCGTCTGCCGATGCAGGGGACACGGGTTCGTGTCCCGGTCCGGGAAGATCCCACATGCTGCGGAGCGGCTAGGCCTGTGAGCCATGGCCGCTGAGCCTGCGCGTCCGGAGCCTGTGCTCCACAATGGGAGAGGCCACAACAGTGAGAGGCCTGCGCACCGCAAAAAAAAAAAAAAAAGCGCTTAAAGTGTGTACCCCAGGGCTTTCTTAGAAACACTACTGTATGACCAAGTCAACTAAGAGATGAATCAAAATAAATTTGGTTATTGAGCAGAATGGAAATGTTACAGTCTTTGGCAATTTTAAAAGTTAAGGTGGGAGAGAGAAGGTAGGAATGACCATAGGAATACTTATTTCTCATAATTCACAATTAGGAATCTTAAGTATTTTTTACAATTGAATTATGTCGTTATAAAAAAGAAAACTCCAAATTCAAAGTGTTTAAAATATTTTTTCTTTAAAATTTATTGGAGTATAGTTGATTTACAGTGTTGTGTGTCAGTTTCAGGTGTACAGCAAAGTGATTCAGTTATACATATATTCTTTAGATTCTTTTCTCATATAGGTTATTACAGAATATTGAGTAGAGTTCCCTGTGCTACACAGTAGGTCCTTATTGGTTATCTATCTTATGTATAGTAGCATGTGTGTATTCATCCCTCCCTGCTATGTTTCCCCTTTGGTAACCGTAAGTTTGTTTTTGATATCTGTAACGGTTTCTGTTTTGTAAATAAGTTCATTTGCTTTTTTTAAATTAGATTCCACATATGAGTGATACATGATATTTGTCTTTCTCTGGCTTACTTCACTCAGTGTGATAATCTCTAGGTCCATCCATGGTGCTGCAGATGGCATTATTTCATTCTTTTTTTATGGCTGAGTAATATTCTACTGTATTATTCTACTGTATATATGTACCACACCTTCTTTATCCACTCCTTCACTGATGGACAGTAAGGTTGCTTCCACGTCTTGCCTATTGTAATACAGTGCTGCTGTGAACATTGGGGTGTGTGTATCATGTTTTTCTCCAGATGTGTATGCCCAGGAGTGGGATTGCTGGGTCATATGGTAGCTCTATTTTTAGTTTTTTAAGGAACCTCCATAGTGGCTGCACCAATTTACATTCCCACCAACAGTGCAGGGAGGGTTCCTTTTTCTCCCCACCCTCTCCAGCACTTATTATAGCTGTAGACTTTTTCATGATGGCCATTCTGACCAGGGGAGGTGATACCTCACTGTAGTTTTGATTTGCATTTCTCTGATAATTAGCTAGGTTGAGCATCTTTTCATGTGCTTTTTGGCCATCTGTGTGTCTTTTTTGGAGAAATGTCTATGTAGGTCTTCCACCTACTTTTTGATTGGGTTTTGGGGGTGATTTTTGATAGAGAGTAATCCCTTGTTGGTTGCTTCGTTTGCAAATATTTTCTCCCATTCTGTGGGTTGTCTTTTCGTTTTGTTTATGGTTTCCCTTTGCAAAAGCTTTTAATTAGGTCCCATTTGTTTATTTGTGTTTTTAATTTCTAGGAGGTGGATCCAAAAAGATTGCTGTCCAAAAGAGTGTTCTTCCTATGTTTTCCTCTAGGAGTTTTACAGTATCAGCCTTAGATTTAGGTCTTGGATCCATTTTGAGTTTTTGTGTTAGCGAGTGTTCTAATTTCGTTCTTTTACATTTTCCCAGCACCACTACCACTTATTGAAGAGACTGTCTTTTCTCGCCTCCTTTGTTGTAGATTAATTGACCAGAGGTGCATGGGTATATTTCTGGGCAAAAAAATTTTTTAATGTTGTTGGTGAAGAAGCACATATTGAGCATTTTTTTTCAGTTTTATCCTCCGCTTAACTTCAAGTAAAATTAAATTGAATACTTTATTTTGAAAAGCATGTATATCATAATCCTGTGTCTCTCCATCTATGTAGAGAAATGTATGAAATTTATATTCATCAAATGTCAATTATTTAGTGGTGTTGGATGGTTTTTACTTTCTACTTTATATGTTTCACATGTTGCCTGAATATCTTGGGCAGAACATGCATGGCTTGCAAAAACCACTAAAGTCACCTTTATTAAAATTATGTTAGAACAAAAATCAATGCAAAACTATAAATTAGAACCAACATTAAGTTGATAACAAGAAAATCCAAGATGTGGTGGTTCTTCATGTTTAAAATAAAAACTGGCAAGTTAACTTGAGAGTAGAGAGAATATTCAACCATAACATTATGTAAAGAGAAAATTCTTACAATACTAACTAGAATTGGATGTTAATACATTATAAAGAGTGGTTTAACGTGACAGTTAATGACCAATAGAAAGTACTTGTTACAGAAAATAGGGACAAAACCTTAATGCAGATCCTATCACAGCCACAGCCCTTTTTTTTTTTTTTTTTTTTTTTTTTTCCTTGCGTTATGCGGGCCTCTCACTGTTGTGGCCTCTCCCATTTGCGGAGCACAGGCTCCGGACGCGCAGGCTCAGCGGCCATGGCTCACGGGCCCAGCCGCTCCGCGGCATGTGGGATCTTCCCGAAACGGGGCACGAACCCGCGTCTCCTGCATCGGCAGGCGGACTCCCAAGCACTGCGCCACCAGGGAAGCCCGACAGCCCTTTTTAAGCAATCCATTGTTTTCAACTTTCTCAATAGAAGGAAATATTTGAACTGCTATTTTATGGATAGACAAAAAATAATCCAGAAAACGTCTTCCCCCAAGAAAGAAACATGAACGAGCCCTATATTAGGAGAATAATTAATTCCAAAGAAATCAGCTGTCAAGGCACACATCATAACCTCCCTTCTGAACTGTGGGGAAGTTGATGGAAGGAGCTGACTTGAGTCACATCTGTATTCCCTGAGCCTGGCACAAAGCCACAGTCCAAGGATGGATAGGTAAATAACCCAACAGATCTGGCTTATGAGGGATTGGGTATCACATCCTTTCTAACAAAGAGGATGTCTTGCGTTAGGTTATGGATGTCTTGCGTTAGGTTATCTACTGAGGATGGATAAAGAGGGAGAAAAGGATAGGAAGAGCACTGTTCTGTAGAAGCATTAGTTCAACAAATATTTACTGACCACTTACTATGTGTTTGTTAGGCATTCCACCAGACTCTGGGAATACCAGCAGGGACTGGAAGGGAAGACAAACAAACATGAAACAAATACTCATCAAAATGAAGTAGTTACAGAGGATAGTCAGTGGCATAAAGGGTTCAATAAGAGTGTAACAGGTGAATCTAACTTAGACTAAAGTTTAAATTCCAGTATTAGATTGATTAGGTTATTACATTAGGTTTGTTGGTTGATAACGGTTATATGATTGGTTACATTTGGGTGATCAGAGCAGGCCTTTCTGAGTAAGCAGCACAACACTTAATAAGTGAGGCATTAGCCAGGAGGCCTGGGAATAAACAGTGCCCTGAGGTGGGAGAGTGCTGGGTACTTCAGAGGAGCAGAGAAAGACTGGTCTGCCTGGATCCTGGTGAGCGAGCGCGGTAATGGCATGAGATGGGGTCATACCAGTGATGTTCTTGTAGCCCATTCTAATCAGTGAGCTGATAAAAGTGTGAGGAAGGGCCAAAAGTAGAAGAGGTTTCCTGAATGACTAAGGACAGCAAGCGGGGCTAGTCACCTGCACTGAAAAGAAATCAGGGGAACAGTGGACAAACTTGACCCATTTATGGGTTTTGCTAAACGATTTGCTTGGAAACATTTCCACACCGTTTTGCCATTAATCAAGTTTCATTTCACTATCACTATTACTATATGTCCCCAAATAAGAATTGTCATTTGTGGAATTATAACAATAAGCGTTCTTATTTAGAAAACCAAGTACTGTCTCTTTTCATGTCTCTCATTCTTGCAGCCCACCTTTCTCAGGCCCAGATCCTATGAAAACCTATAACATCATATTGAGGGGGATTGACATGATAGAATTTCCAAAGAAGATTGCCAAAAATGCTGCTAATTTAATTAAAAAACTATGCAGGTAAGCATTTCAACCACATTATTTTTTAAAGGATCATAATATGGAAACAATTAGATTCCTTAACACTTATTTTATTTTTAGGGATAATCCATCAGAAAGATTAGGGAATTTGAAAAATGGAGTGAAAGACATTCAAAAGCACAAGTAAGTGTTCTTTCCTTATAACTTTAGGTTTGAGAGTTCAGAAAGTATCTTCCCAGGCTGATGCTTTTAAGGTAGTGGTTGTATATAACTGATGCAATTAGTCTATGGGAATATCCAAGGAGACATGTAGACTAGTTCGCCTTGTTATTTAAGACCTTTCGAGTTGCGTCTCTGGGACTTTATTTAGACACATCTGACCCTCTGACATTCTAAACAACAGATTCACTGAACTTAGTTTTTCCTGACTCAAACTAACTAGCACTTTTCCTCTTGAAGAAGCATGAAGAAGAAATACATATTTTTAATCCTGGAATTCTCTTCTCTACCAGAATATTAAAAACAAAAGTACTCCACCATCGATCATGCCTCATTTCCTTGACTCAACCTAAAATATATTTTTCCAACCATTTCCTAGTTAGAGTACAGTCTTTTTTCTCTGTCATAGCATCTTTTTTTTTTTCCAAGCAATAGTAGCATCTTGAATACCAGACCTTATCCATGTTGACTGGATGCATCTGAAGCTAAACCAAGACCATATTGGTTTTTCCCTATTAGTCTGTTTCTGTAACATGCACAGGAAAGTCACATATCTACCAAGAGGAATGTGTTTACCCTATGAATGTCTAAAAGGCCTGCCAGGAATTTGGTGTAAGCATCTGTGAATGATGAAACCTTTCAAAGACAACAACAAAAAACCTTCTGTGATATGTGGCCCTCATTTCTACAGAAAAGCCATACGCAAAATACCTTTATTCTACCAAAAAGAAAAAAGAAAGAAAATGGGATACTTAGAGACCAAGACAGTGATGTGAACAGGTTAATTAACTGAGGCTGCCCACTGAATCAGTGACAAAGATGGAAAGATAATTTTCTGTCCTGACACTTCATGCCCTGATTCTACCTTCTTAAAATAAATCTCCTGTAGGGCCCAGCATATTATGACATTTATTAAGTTATAATGATTGTGTAGGAACAAGGTCCTAGAGACATTATGACTGAAATTACTAGAATAAAATACTAGAATAAAAAGGAGTTGCTTTCTAATTAGTGTCTAAAATTTTGACAATTAGATTTTTTTAAAAATATGCGTTCCATTTAATAAGCTAACATTTAAAAACATGCAATTAAATTGAAAATGTTTGCCTATTTTCCATCAGTCATGGACATCATATATAGGTTGCAATGAGAAGACTTCAGCTGAGGTAAAATGTCTAACTATCTACTTCTTTTCCTTTCTTAGATGGTTTGAGGGCTTTAATTGGGAAGGCTTAAGAAAAGGCACCTTGACACCTCCTATAATACCAAGTGTAAGTAGACTTTCCAGCTTGTACTAGTGTGACACACGTGAAGGTGTTTGTCAGTCATCAAAGATCTGCCATTGTTACATTTTTATCCTATGATCAGATTAGATAAACTATAGGAGAAAGACCAGATTAAAATAGTGACATCTTCTAAAATCCAAGCTGAAAAACGGTGTTAAATATTGACAGAAGAGTATCATGAATCTTTTTTTCCCCATAATATAAAACCTTTATACACCTTTGCCCAAGAATATATTCACAACCTTATTTAGTCATATTCATGAATTACCACCGAAACTATGTACACTGTTTGAAATTTCTGCACATACATCTTCTCTCTATACAATTTAGTGTGTACTTGACTATACTTGGTGTGAGTTAGGATTATCTGCTATTGTTACCTTCTGTTTACGATTTCAGTTTACTCTCCAGCATGCTCTGTCTCCAAGAGTCCAAGCCAAATGGACCACATCAAAACATTCCCGGCCCTTTGGTTTCCTGTGGGGTGTGGTCAACAGCTTTCAATTCCTGGCCAATATTGTTTCACTTATGCCCCACATAGCTCCTCTTCCCCTGCCCACATAGTACTCTGAAGCACTCCTAAGCACAATGGTGTTCTTTTAAATTCTCTTTTCTTAACACATCAGGTGTTTTGTTAAACTGCTAATCCACTAAGTCCACTAAGTGTTTACACGCTATTAACCCGAAAGAGAGTTCGATTGACTGCATTTATAGATACTATATCTAGCTAATAAAACGTGATGTGTCTTAACTAAGGAGGAGAGGGCTGCTTTGCAGTCCTGAGCCTTTCATTTATATACTTCCTTTTTCTGGGATGAATGTAAGATCACTTCTTCTACAGAAATATTTTTCCTACTTCTAAGATTTATTTCTACGCTAATATTTATGTTTATTCACAAAGCAAATTACAGATGCTCAGTGCATTCATAAAGTTTTACTTTTAGAACAAGAACAGTATAAGAAACTTGAAGAGGTAAATATTAAGTCTAAATTATCCTAACTTATATTTGCCAGGGGTCTCCTTTTATGCAATCAGTAGTGTTAAATTATATGGGGGAAATATATATATACATATAAAATAGAATATGAGGTCCTAAATATTGTAGAATATAAGGGAAATTAAAGTGTTTCTTTACTGCTTTTACTCATGCTCTGCAGATTGGACTTTGCCCAGTAAACTTGTAAGAGTTTTTGCTTGAGGTTAGAAAGGGCTTTTTATCATACTTAGAATAAATACACGAAAATCCTTAAGCTGACTTCTGCCTATTTCTCATTTCACTCCCCTCCTCTTTTATACAGTAGCCAAGTTGACCTCTTGTAGATACTTCATAGCATGGAGCTCTCTCTTTCTCACCTCAGGACCTTTGCATGTCCTTTGCATGTGCTATATACCCTCTTGATGGAGACCGTTAATTCTGAGGTTTAATACTTTTTCAAAGAGGCTTTCCCCAATCACTCCTTTTTACTCATGACACCTTGTATTTTTTCTTCATAGCACTAACCAAAGTTTATAATTATCTACAGCTGTAATTATTTGTTTTAATCACACAGAGCCATGTCTATTTTTATTCACCACTGTAACCCCCAATACAAAGGACAAACCTGCTCATGGTAGACATTCCAAAAATAGCCATTGAATACAGACTGAATAAAGAATGTTTTAAAAATCTAGCTTGGAAGGCCCCTAAAAAAAAAAATCAGAAAATTTTACCGTTCGTTCTCTTGTTCGCAGGTTGCATCACCCACAGACACAAGCAATTTTGACAGTTTCCCTGAGGACAATGACGAACCACCACCTGACGACAACTCAGGATGGGACGTAGACTTCTAATGTATTTCTCTTACCTGCTTCTGCCTTGCTGAAGACAGCTTTTTCTGAGACACAGCTGCCAGCAAACCTGAAGGAAAGAGAGAAGATTAGTGCTCGGGGTCACCATGATGCCTTTGATCGATGCTGCTCCAGTAACTACAGTGGCATTAGGACTTATTGCTTAGATGACAATAGTGCTCTTTACATGTTTTCTGTTTGAAACTAAAAATAGCAGTTGACATGGTGGTCCTGAAGCAAAGCCTTTCACCAGTAAAGAAATGTTTTCTATTGTTGCAGTGATCTTGCTTTGCTCTGATTATAATTTGAAAGACTGTAAGAAACACTTCAAAGAGGGTCAGTACCTTGCTAGAATTATCAAGAAGATCCAAAAATAATATATTGGGTACGACAGATTAGATTACTGTGGTACAAAAACTGGACTCTTCCCTTTCTTCAAGTGAGGGTTGTAGACTCTGTTACTGCAAGCTGGTGTAAATACCGTATACAAGAGGACCACACATCGGCTGGTCACAGAGTTCATGTCAAACCAGTGCTAGAAGTTTCATGATTTTCTTTCCCAGCAGTGCTGATGACGAGACTGAATGTTACCTTTCCTTTCTGACAGATTTTACAAATTGATATGATAAAAGCACAACTGCTATGGATTCCGCTGAGAACTCTCATAGCAGGTATATATGTGTTTTCACAGAGGACTGAAGAACACAACATGCATGATATTTGTTTCTTTTTGATAAATTGGCATGACAGAGTGGGACAAAAGCAATTCACAAACCATTTCATATTTTTTTAAATAGCGTGCTTAAAGATGGTCCTGGAAATAAATGACTAGCAGCCAACTGGTTTTTATTTATCTCACACACCCTCAAACTGAGGCTTAAAATATTCCCTTTTATAAAAATAAACCTTTAGGGTGGGGTGGGGTGGGGTGGGTTGGAGAGGGATGAAGATCCATCCAAAAAAATAAAAACTATATATGGGTGCTATGTATATCTTTCATCTGTAAATGTCAGTGTCTAAACAGACAACACAAATTCTAATCATTACATGTGTAGCCAGAGAATCAAGCATTTTCACTAAATTTATCAAACCAAACTTCTGTCAGATTTCACTTATACAACATAGTCTAGGGTTGAGGGAGACGCAACATAGTCTAGGGTTGAGGGAGAAAGGTGACTAAGAATATATTTGAACTAGCTTCTTGTCTTAGGCCTGAACCAAGAAAAGAAAAGAAAGCAAGCACAAAATCATTAAGATTCACCCGATGAGAACCCTTACCTATGTGAGGTCAGGGAACAAGACAAGAACCTGGGCAGGTGTGATTACCTTTTTGTCAATGGGCAACGAGTCTATTAGCATGTGAAAGGAGGAAAGGAGTAGAAACAGGAACCCGATTTCTTAAAAGTAAATTGGAGCTAAACAGAACAAATACTACAATTCTGAAATATCAGACTAGCTAGGAAAGACTAGATACATTTGAAATATCGAAGTGATTTGCTTTTTCACATGGGGAAAAGAATCAGCAATTTAAACTGAGTCCTTTGTTGGCAGGCCAGTTGACAATTATTAGCTGTCAAAAGTAGCACAGCCATTTGGAGCTTTTCCTGGACAATTAGCATTGTACCTCCTTAGACAAATGTATAATTTTATGAGCTGTCATCCTGATTTGGAACTGTATATGAACATGGCATATTAAACAGAGGTTTGATCTTTTCCCGTAGAGAGTGTTTAAAAAGTCAATCAAATATAGACAGTTCTGCAAAACATACATCCACCGAGATTATATAGTATCCAAGAAGGCATATATTATGATTTTTGTTTGAATTTTTCATACCAAGACTACTTTAGAATATGATATGTTATCAAAATATAAAAATCTAAGAAACATTTGGAAAATAAAAGTATTAAGGGCATATTATATATAATTAGAATAAATTTAAATGAAAATTTTGATCCTAAGATGATATTATTATTCTTGTATTATCAGATTTCTCCCTCCCTATTTCTCAAAATAAATGCTCACCTTCTTCTACAGATTTTAGAAGACAAAATTAAACATATCAAGTTAAAATCCAGCTATGAATGCTACTTCAGAAGTTTAATATTGCTTTTAATTGGGCTTCTAAAAATATAATTTCAATGTTATTAGTCAACGTTCAGTGATTTTTTTTTTTTTTTTTTAAAGACAGTGGTGTAGGCATGCTAAAGGTTTGCTGGAATGTTAAATTCACCTAGTCATTTTAAGTAAGAGAATCTTCTCCTGCAACTTTTTAAATATCCCAATAGCCCCAGAGATTAGCACTTACTGTGGATTTGGAACTATGGTTCAAGTCTAAGACAACCAATATGTACAAGTTCTGTAGAAAATGAAGACGCAGCATTCAGCGTAATCCAACTGTAGGTCGTTTCTCCCACTTGTTAATGCATCTTTGTTCATTTCACCTGTGGCACTGCATTAGGACGTCTAAAGCAATCACCAAGAAAATAAAGGGGAACTACATCTTTCGAGAATTACTAAGAGAAAACATTCGTCTAATTTTCAACACTGAATTTTAAGGATTTAAATCTTGTCTTAATGAAGACACTAGGGCTAAAATTCATGGTCAGCTTCATAAAAAAGCACATCTCACTTTATTTCTGAATTTTTCATGCCCCCTCTATTTTCTTCCACTAAAGAACATCCAGATAAGTTAGAATAGCGCCAACTTGTTTGATTTGTTAACTGACTTTCTTGTTAATACTTCAAGTATGGGAAATAAGGGCTTTCTGTGTGTCTTGACTCACAGGAAAACTGAAAACTGCCAAGGAAAGGAGCAACGTAACACCTGAGATAGATTGAATACATTAGAGAAAGTGATTTCTGGAAATTTGCTAGGAATGATATTTGCTTGTACCTTCTTTGTTATTAATATAGGAATCAGATCCATGTGGCATTTAAAACAAATTTATTTTGACTATATTCTTTACAAATCATACCTTTTACTTAAAATTATGGGATATGCATGTGAATCACACATGTATAATAATATAAATTCAACTACTGAATTTTTCTTGTCTCATTTCTAAAAGACTGAACTGATGGTGAACTTAAATTTAAAGAAGTCAGCTACCACACCGAAAATAAGGATATCAGAACTGATTTCATACAGTAGAGGTGATTTGTGCATTATCCATAACAATGTTTTCTTTCACAGTAGGACCACAGATAAATATTTATGTAAATAGGTATTTTTGTGTGATATTTTGTGGTACATGTAACTTTTTTTTAGTGTTTCACAGCATTATTATTTCATTTAATTTGTACTGAATAATGTTTTTAGGCCCAAGTAGACTTGAATTAATGTCATAATTGTCAGTATTATTGAAAATTATGTCAACTGTACTGTTTATCCATCTGTCCCATAGTTTAGAACATGACCTGGCTATCTGGCATTGTTGCAAGTGCCTTAAATTCATGGCATCCTATTAAAAAAACAAATTTGGTGTTATGCTGCATGACAAAGACAAACACACCTCAAAATGTTGTCCTTTCTTAGCTTGCTGCGTTTTACAGTTCTTTCTGCTAACAATTTATAAGCCTTTATTACATAATATTGATGAATTACAGAAATGATGAAGTTGTTCTCTTATTTCTGTTAAATGTACCAGAGCTGTGTATCTGTTAATGAGATACAGCGTCATTTCTGTGAAATGTATAAATGTATGTGCAGGTCAAATTAATATATGACATACTATCAGTCTGTATACAGGTATTCCTGTTTTGCTAAGCTGTGCAGATTCAGTTAAAAAAAAAAATTAGTGCAGTCAAGTTCTAAAATATCTCATTTTTTAGACTCCATTAACAACAGTCCAACTCAAAAGAAAAATTGGAAAATGACTGCTAACCAAGCCTCGTCATGAAACCAGTGATGAAAAAGTACCTTGGTGCACAACTCAACAAAACAGGATGCTTCCTCTGAGTTCTTGTATATGCAAATCACTTATAAGGCAAGTTTTCAACAGACCTAGAAAGCTAAACATTGAAAGTGTGTTGTTAGCCCTCCTCTTTATCTGCCCCTGCATCAACAGACAGAGCTCTGGGACCTTGACAGTGACTCAGAGGTTTGGACTTTCCAAGTAAAGGGACATTTCTTGAAGCGTCATCTATCAAATTTATTTCAATGTATGATGTTTTTACAACTGCTCAGTTCTTTTGTATTCTTACAGCTATGGTTATTTGATTGTCCTCTTACAATTCATTCTACATGAAAGAGTCCTTTGTTAGTCAGAATGCAACAACTGTCATCAAATGGTCACTGACCACTTGCACTCTTTTGATGTAGATTAAACACTTTTTCATAAACTTAACCTGCTTTGATTTGCTCTGTATTTTTCCTGCAGCTGTAATTGCCGAGTGCCTGTTGTATACTTTATAGAGTTGAAATAAAAAAATAATTACTTTTGAAATTAGTTGATGTTTAATTTCAAACAAGATTCAAGGATAGAATTAATATATTAGAATTGAAATACCATATAGTGCTATTGTAGAATGTCACTATAACAATGTAGAAAATACTTATAACCCAAGTATCCATCATAAGATGATGTGTTATCATCTAATATAAAACTAATCCAACAAATCAGCTTAAAGAATTCAACAGGGTTACATTAGGCCATCCAGTGTGAAGAGCCACACGAACCTGAAAATTAGCAGTTTTCTGTATGCAACTACCACACCACCACCATCACCACTACTACCGCTCACTCCTTTTTGGGCTACCCCTAGCCAAACTCTGAACTAGGCACACCGTCAAAGGGGCAACATACAAGAATATAAGACATGCTAGGAGGGAATTATTTAATATGAAAAGTAACTTCATGAATCTTTGTCTAAGGTTTGTTCACCTAATCCCTCTGTTAAACTTCACATGCATAAAGAATATATATTTAGAGAACAATAAGATTGCAACAAACTCAACTCTCCACAGCCCTGGTGAACATACTGTTGCTACATCCCTTTGCTCCTCACTGCAGTGAATGGTGCACAACTTAAAACTGGCTGCAACATAAAGATCCCCTTAATCTAATTGCATTTGTCTTGTTGACATCACATTGCCAGTGACGGTGAATAGAAACCCCTTTCTAATGAAAACTAGAAATTCAATTCGGTTAGCTTTCTCAGACAGAGCCAATAAAATAACCTTAAAAAATATTATGTCACATAGCAATCCAATAATTTCATTTTTCCTACAAATAGAACTGAACTGTAAGTTTTTAGTATTTATCCTTTAAGTTCTGTTACTTTCACACCCTTGATCTAAGAACCGTCTTCTTTGATCCCAGAAGGTTATTTTTTTTTTGTACTAATCACACAGTTTTTGCAGAGGCACACAGATCAATCCTCATGATCATTAGTGGGGTTGGGGGAGGAAGATGGTGAGGATGTTGCATCCATGCCACTGTCACATCTTGTGCATGTTAATTGCAATTGAAGTAAATCACTGAACACTTACTTGACTATGACAATAGGAATCAATACTAAATTTGAGATGAATGAATTGGTAGCACGATCGTCCAAGTTGATCACATGTTATGCTTGCAGCCCTACCCTGAGATTCTCAGTTATAACCCTGAAAGTGTTATGCACATAATATAGGACAGCCACAATGCTAATATCCTTTTCCAGAGTCCTATTTACAGTTCTCTTCTGTATTCCATATTTCTCATTTCTAATTCAAAAGGCCTATAAATTGGTAAAATAGTAATGTTTACCTCCCACAATTGTTTTTTACCCAAGGTAAGTCTATGAAGCAAAAGACAGCTCCATCACATGCCAATTAGCAAAGCCAAAAAGGTTAAGTCTCAACCTCATGGGAAAAGGGAAAAAAAAAAAGGAAAAAGGGAAAAACCAAGGCCACAAGCCACAAAGTCTGGCCATGGATTTCATAAGACTTAAGGGACAGGCTCAAGGTATATGTTCTAGGACAATGTTTTCCAAACATCAATGTCGTAAAATGTCTGTAGGAAATATGGTAAAAACATAGATTCCCAGCATCATCCAGTTATTTTCAGGTACAGTCCAGAAATCTGAATTTATAACAAGCATCTTAGCTTATTCAGATGGAAACAGTTATATACATTCATGGAAGGGATGCAGGAAAATATGGCCCATGGGAAAGCATTTCAGGAATGGTAGGGTGAAGGAGGAAAGAAAAAAAAAAATCTATAGTCATTGACATCCA